TCTCTCTCTCTCTCTCTCTCTCTCTCTCTCTCTCTCTCTCTCTCTCTCTCTCTCTCTCTCTCTCTTCCTTACCCGCCGCGGACAGCAGTGTACCCTGCCGCTCTCTTCTCTAGTCTTACCTTTCCCAAGCTGTCAAACGAAACAGGAACGCCGGTCAAATCTGGTCAACGGACACTGATGTCGATTCCAACTCGGTCATCAACTCCCCTCGTGCGACCGCGCGGGAAAGCACAGCTTCGGATGAAACCACCCTGCGCTCAAAGTTTGGTTGGGGATGAGTCGCCGCTTGTTTTGCCTCCGTCGGAGGAAATACCCCGATTGGTTCCGTGATGGCTTCCTCCCAATCGTCCCTCACGGCCGGAGAAGAGACAGCGGCGGAGCCTTTCTCCACGTGCGGAACCACAGCGACGGATATGGAGAACTTCTGCTGCTGAGTGGGCACAAGGGCGGGAAAAGATGGCGCAACGGGAGCAGCTCCAGCATCGCCAAATGGACCAGGCGGAACAACCACTTCAGATGGCGGGAAGGCTACCGGTGGCAGTCTCGAAGCTGTTCCTAGCTGTGTTCCTGCTCTCTACGGCAGTAGCACAGCTTGGAATGAAACCACCCCGCGCTCAAAGTTTGGTTGGGGATGAGCCGCCACTTGATTTGCCTCCGTCGGAGTAAATACCCCGATTGGTTCCGCGATGGCTTCCTCCGAATCGTCCCTCACGACCGCAGAAGAGACCGCGGCGGAGCCTTCCTCCACGTGTGGAACCACAATGACGGGTATGGAGAACTTCTGCTGTTAAGTGGGCACAAGGGCGGGAAAAGATTGCCCGACGGGCGCAGCTCCACCATCACCAAATGGACCAGGCGGAACAACCACTTGAGATGGCGGGAAGGCTACCGGTGGCCGTCCATAAGTTGTTCCTAGTTGTGTTCATGCTCTCCGCGGCGGACCTACCAGTAGGCCTACCGCAGTGGCGGGAGTGGACAAGGAATCCGCGCCTTTAGGAGGGGCGAAGGTTTGCCCGCCTCCCGCCTCGCCTGCGTCCGAGGGTCCTCCCCGAGTTGATGACACCCCCGCCTGGAGACCCTTCAATTGGCCGCCCACGGTGCACTTCGCCGTTCCACCGACCGGGACTGGCGCGGAGTCCTCCAGACTTGCACCTGGACCCGCCGTCTCTTTCCGCCCCAGTTCTGCCGCCTAGCTATCCTTCCCAGCTGCCCCCGACCTTTGGCTTGGAGACGGGCCTCACGAGCCTTTCTGGCTCGGAGATGAGCCTCGTGAACCTCCTTTCCGTCGATTGCCTCGCCGCTCAACCATTTCTCTCTCTCTCTCTCTCTATGTATCTATCTATCTATCTATCTATCTATCTATCTATCTATCTATATGTCTCTCTCTCTCTCTCTCTTCGGTGTCCATTGACTTGATTTGACCAGCGTTCTTGTTTCGTTTGACAGCTTGGGAAAGGTCAGACTAGAGAAGAGAGCGGCAGGGTACACTGCTGTTTGCGGCTGGTAAGTAAGAGAGAGAGAGAGAGAGAGAGAGAGAGAGAGAGAGAGAGAAAGAGAGAGAGAGAGAGAGAGAGAGAGATGGTTGAGCGTTGAGGCAATCGACGAAAAGGTGGTTCGCGAGGCTCATCTCCGAGCCAGAAAGGCTCGCGAGGCCCGTCTTCGAGCCAAAGGTGTGGGGCAGCTGGGAAGGATGGCAAGGCGGCGGAACTGGGGCGGAAAGAGCCGGCGGGTCCAAGTGCAAGTCTGGAGCACTCCACGCCTGGCCCAATCGCTGGAACGGCGGAGGGCACCGTGGGCAGGCTGATGACACCCCCGCCGGTAGACCCTTCAATTGGCCGCCCACGGTGCCCTCCTCCGTTTCACCGACTGGGCCTGGCGGGGAGTCCTCCGGACTTGCACCTGGACCCGCTGAATCTTTCCACCCCAGTTCCGCCGCCTTGCCATCCTACCCAGCTACCCCGGACCTTTGGCTCGGAGACGGGCCTCGCGTGCCTTTCTGGCTCGAAGATGATCCACGTGAACCACCTTTCCGTCGATTGCTTCGCCGCTCAACCATCTCTCTCTCTCTCTCTCTCTCTCTCTCTCTCTCTCTCTCTCTCTCTCTCTTCTCCGCCCGCCTCGCGTGCGTCCGAGGGTCCTCCTCGAGCTGATGACACCCCCGCTAGTAAACCCTTCAATTGGCGTTCCTGTTTCGTTTGACAGCGGTGTCCGTTGAATGGATTTGAACGGCGTTCCTGTTTCGTTTGACAGCTTGGGAAAGGTCAGACTAGAGAAGAGAGCGGCAGGGTACACTGGTGACCGCGGCGGG